CCAGGTGGACGTGCTGCTGGCAGGCCGCACAGGTACTGCTGAGCGTGGTGCGCTGGGACTGCTCCGACGGGTCCGAGGGGACATCGTCCTGAGACACAACGCACGGGGAGCTCAGGCTGGGGGCCACGAGCTGCTCCCCAGCCCACGGCTCCTCCAGAGCAGCTGCTCCCTGTGCAAAGCCCATCGGTGAGTGCTTGCGGCACAGCTCAGGGTCTGACAAAGCACAGAACAGCTGCCCCCAAGTCCAGGCACAGGCAGGCTGCCTCTTCCAAAATTAGAAGGGGCCACTGCTAAAGGTGCCTTGTCCCTATCTAGGGCTGAACAGCTGTGGAAGGGACTAATCTAAACCCCAGGCAGAGGGGACCTGCAAGAGGAATCCCCTCTTTTTAGAAAACATACCATTCCAGACATCTGCTAAATCCTGAAATAAAGGGCCAAGAAAGAAAAAGGCATCTTTTCTGCTTTTCTAATCCCACATTCCTGTTCTTTCCTCATCTACAGGGTTCTTGTCCCATAAGAACAAAGGTGCTTGTGCCCTGGGTGGCTAAAGGAACCATCCAGCACCAATCTGCTCAACCTCTTGCCTGCCATGGACAAATTTCAGTCCACAAGACTCCTAGAGAGAAATCACTCTCTCAGCTGGGCTCCCCAAGGCACCAAAATCCCAAACACCCCTCCCACCCCAAAATACACAGGTAGCCCCCTGCAAAAGATCCATCCAGCCATGACGAGCTCTCTCCTGTCTCCTCACCTGCAGTGCAAGGAGCACCACTGCCTCAGGCTGGCTTTGAATCAAGAAATCAGGTACCTGTGGTGCCAGGGAACTCTCGACAGCAGCCACGGGCTTCTTGTTGGACAGCAGAGGAGGCGAGGAGGCAGCAGCTGGGCGCTTCATAGGCGGAGGGACTCTGGCTGGAGGCAGAAGGCAAGGAGGATCAGGCACTGAGAGGAGGGGTGACTCACACCGCCCATGTGGGGGAAGGGAAGGGGGAAAAAAAAAATCATCTAGCCTTGTGACACAGGACAGGACTTGCCACTCCCAACACTTGGGTGCCTGTTTTAGGTGGAGGAGACAAACACAATCTAATGATGGGTCAGCTGCGAGGCTGTCAGAGAGCCTGGCCCTGCTGTGGGTCCCCTTCTGTGGCCCAGGGACACCAGACTCTCACTGTGATTTGATTTACTCAACAACTGCCGCTTGGCTTTCTTGCAACCGACTCCCTAAGCAATGCTTAAAGCCCAGAGCACCCCAGGTAGCTGCTGATGTATTGCTGTGACCCACTGGGCCCCAGGGCTTCTGGGCTGTCAGCAGAACTGTCCCTTGCCTGTCAGGGCTGGCACTCACACACCAGTCCCCTGTAGGAGTCCTCGGCTGGGAGGTCAGCATTCCTGGAGAAGTATACGCACATGGAAGAGATTTATCTGATGTTGTGGCAGAGGATACCTGGGGCCCATCATCTCCACCCAAGAGGTATGCCCTGGAAGAGCTGTCTCAGAGCAGCACTCAGCCCAGGTTGCAGTTGCAAGGACAGATGAGTTGATTTGAGACACTCCATCCTGGTTCCCCTCCCTCTGCCCTCCAGTCCCTTGACACCGATGTGATAAGAATTACCTGCTAGGCGGGCTGCCTATCTAGCTTTCTCCCATTTCAGTGGGTTAAAGCAGATCACAAAGGGGTCTGACAAGCACCAGGGGTGGTGGCCCAACCCAAGCAACAGGAATGCAGCAGGGAGGAGAAGAAACAAGGCGTTCCTCCTTCCGCAGCCCGAGCCGTTAAATCACTCCCCACCTCTTGTGAAACCTTGTCCTGTTCCACTCCATGTTCCTGGCCTTCCTCACGAATACCGGCAAGATCCAGGAGAGGCAGGTACTACCCGCTCCTCTCCCCTTCCCCACAAACACACATGCTCCCATTTGCCATAGGAAGGTGGAACTACAAGGTAATACTGGGTTTCCTGTACTCAAGTCGGGGCAAACTGGAAGCCAGAGGGGTGGGAGGACACTCACCTTGGCTGGGGTTGTTGAAATGGTTGTAATACTGAGACACGTAAGTCATGATGCTGAGGCAGTCAGGGACTTTCATGGAGACCATGTCATTGGGATCTAGCAGGGCTGGGATGCCCAGCTCCCGCTCTGCCAATTCAAAGGCCTGCAGGAACAGCAGAAAGAGGCATTAAAGAGAGAAAACTGATGCTCTCTGAAAAATAATGGAGAAGTCAAATTGGAAGGACCCTAGGGGAGGTTAAGCAGTAAGCCTATGGTATCCCTGATGGACAGAGGCTCCCAGACATGCAGAAAAGTGGCACCAGAAGCAAGGGAACAAGTTGCTGCAGCTGCCCTTTCCTCCAAGTCATTTCAGCTGCCTCTGCCTCTGCCCCTGCAACTCCCACCTGAAGGGTCTTAGCATTCGGCTGCTGCACCAAGACAGGGAGGGCAACTCTCAGGAGGTCTCAGTTTTCACAGGAAAAAAAAAATCAGTGTTTTTTCAACCAATGAAACAGGCACACCACCAGTGCCCTCATGCAAGAGCCCAGCAGAGCCTTGGCTGGCACTGTGAAGGGCTGGCAGGTACTTCCAGCAACAAAGCCAAACACCAGCTCTACCGGTCAGTGTCCCCAGCCACTCCAAATGCTCACCCCACAGAAACAATGACTCTGCCTATCCTTACATGCTCCGGGGTGCCACATCTTCTCCTCCCACAGTTAACATAGCCATCCTGGCTCAACAGCCATCAGTCTGCCACACACAAACCACTTCAATAATTTTCTGTGTCTCAGCAAGCAGAAATGACAAAGATGTTGTGATAAGAAGCACACAGCTCCTACAATTGCATAACACAGCTACTTGAAAGAAGGAGTGAAGGAGGAAAACAGCTGTCTGAGAGCTTCCCACTTAGCAGTGTATGTGGATTACTGGCTATACACGGCCCATCCTGCTGTTGTGCCAAGGGCAGTGTACCCACACTGAGCTCCAAGGGAGGGAGGATGCGAGACTATGGCAGGGACCAAAGAGAAAGGGAGTCAGGAGGGGATGAGTGTGGTGGGGGCACTGAATGGTGAGGTACCAAGTGCAGGGTGTGGGTAAAGACTGAAGGTTCCTGGACTCTGGGGCACAAGATGTTGTGTGCAGGGTGTGGAATCTAAAGAAAAGGAATGGAGAAACAAATTAAAATGGGGATTTGCAGTAACTTGGGGTGCAAAATACACCCCAAGCTCAGCCTGGCTTTAAGCCAGTGCTCTGGACTGAGTCTTGCTGAACACAAGGCTGCAAGCAATAGGGAGCAAGGAGAGATCCCAGCTTAGGGGTCACTAATAGGACAAGAAACCCACTGTGTGGCTCTTGAATGGGAAAAGATAGCTGCTAGTGGCTGAAAGGGGCAACTGCTCTAGGAAAAGGCATAGCCAGGACCCAACTCTGGAGAGCCCTAATTCTGAAAACCCAAATGAATTAGTTCAACTCTTCTTGGGAAGGTGATGGCCCATGTCTCTCCACAGACTATCAGATGGAGCCTGCAGCAATTAGATCTTTCTCTCAGCAAAAAAACCCAAGGCTATTGCTGCTTCGTTCTACCCCTAGCCCCTGGGGTTAGGCATCTCCCCATTCCCTACTGCCTGCTTCTGCCGTTGGCTCCAGCTGTTCCAAGCAGGAGGGGAACATTGCAGACCAGCCTAGGTCCAGCACCATCTTCCTCTCTGCTTATGCCTGGTATAAAACCAGCTTACTGTTTCCATTGCCTGCAAGCCTGGAACAGCTGAGGTCAAGAAGATATTGCACCATATGAATCTTCACCTGAGATGTTGTCTTGGCAACTATCAGGATAACCATCTTATCTTCTCTTCAGTACAGGCTGGAAGCTGATGTTTCAGATTCCCTCATGTTTCCAGAGAAGCTCCTGTCTGTTACTTACACAGTTTTCTTACAATTTCACCACTGTCACAAAGTCCTCCCTCACTACATGACCTCCATCAAGTCATTCCCATGTTCCTTCTTCCTTCTGTGCACTGCATAATGGGGACTTACCAATCGGTTATTCTCATAGACATCATCCTTGGAGAGAGAATCAAAGTCTCTGAAATGAGAAAGCACAAAAAAGCCACATGAGGTGCAGAGGAAAAGTGCCCCAATGCCACCACACCCAGGTTCTCAGGACAGCCAACCTTGCAACAACTCTAAGACCCCTAGATAAACAAACCTTGGCAAAGCAGATTTCAGGTTGTAAATGGACAGAGAAACCAAAGGGAAATTGCAATTAAAAAAAGAAAGCAAGTCCCAAATGGGTGGTGACCAGGAAATTAAAAGGTCATTCTTGTCTCTTGTTACCTGCTTCTTCTGCCCACATGATTAAAGACTGCAGAAATACCAGGGCCACGTTCCAGTTAGCACCACATACCTCTGCACTGAAGGCTGCACAACATCACCCTGAACTTGCCCCTCCAAGGCTGCTGGCACAACAGCAGGAGGATGGGGAAGCAGATTTCCCATCTCAAGAGAAAGAGCCGCCTGAGCTAGACCTCTCCCTCCTATGAGGGTCCTCAGACAAACCTCCCTGCACCACCATAAGGGACTTGAGGTTGCCCCAGGATATGGGGTGACACAGAAGGTCTTTAACTGACCTTCTGTCCTTGCTTGCCCCCCAACACTCGCAGTTCACAGCAAAGGGTCTTTGGCCGCAGCCTTCACAGTGAGGCAGCTTGCCAAACACAAGGTGCTCAGGGCACCGAGAGGAGCCCCAGCAGCTCCCAACCTGGGTACCTTGTGGCATTTCACTGGTTCCCCTGGATCCCCTCAGGGGATCAAATCAGCCCAGCCACAGGGATGGACTAGCTGCCTTTGTCAGAGGAGCAGAGGGTGGAGGGTTAAAGCCGTCTGCAGGCCTTCAATAGAGGGGGAGAAACACAGGAAGGACTTAAGTTAGGCCTTTTGCATGTGTGCATGGGTATAATGTGTGAAAACAGCATCACACTAAACTGATCACAGCCCCTTCCTGCCAAGGATCTCAGCTTTGTTACCAAAAAACCCTCATGCAGCAGCTCGGTGTGCCTGTGAGCTGCATTCACAGAGAGGGGACAGCCCCGAGAGGTGTAGGGTCAGGCAAAGCCACCCTAAATGGCCCCGAGAGGGGTGACAAAGCCTGGGAGAGCGATCCTGAAAGACAATTCAGATTAAAGGTGGGGAGTGTGTCCCCCACCCCAAAGGTGGTGTGCAGGAATCGGGCAAGATGGCAAATCCTGAGCCACGTGCCCATGGAGAGGGGCTGCAGGAGCCTCCCTTCCTCCATCCCCCTTTGGATTTTATTGCCTTTTCCTGTCACACCGACCCAACCCGCCCCGGCGCCACATCGCAGGGCAACCAGCCCCTTCTCGAAGCCCCTTGCACGCCTTTCCCAACGCTACAGAGGAAGTCTGTGATGCGCTCAGGAAGATTTTCCCAGCTGCCTGCACCACCATAAAATCACACTTCCTCTGTTCAAAAGCAAGAGGCTGCTGGTACCGTTTCCTCCCAGACAAATGAAACTGCAGCCGCTCACTGCTGCGGGAGCAAACGCAGCAGACATGCAGAAGATGGGCTGGACATTCAGCTCTGTGTTAAGCACCTTTCTGAAAGCTCATGCAAATACACGCACAGAACTGAGCCTGTTCTAAACACCACAACTTTTCCCTCTCTACACGCTAGTGAGAAAAGGCTTCAGCTGCAGCCTTCACTTTGATGTGAAAACTAGTGCCTTTTCTGTATTTATGGCAAGTTTCCACTGGGAGATGTTTTTTTCCCTAAGACTTTTTTTTTTTCCTAGAGAACTCCTTTAACCTTGCTGTATTTTTTTTTTTTTCTTTTTAAAGAAAATACCAGCTTGGGAACACAGAAGCGATGACAGCAAAGTTGATATATCAACTGCCCTCTAAACATTCATGACCTTCATTTTGAATGCCCTCACTTTCAGGATATGGGAGTGGTGCAGCTGGAAGCTTGAAGACTCCTTGGTGGCCTGGGCTGGGAGAGTATTTTTTAATAGACAAAACATCATGTCCATTCCACTCTGCGTCAGCCAACCAAAGCCATTTTTGTAAACCCAAGGCAAAACTGCCTGGGAAAGCGGATGCCAGCAGAGAGGACATGAAGCTCAAGAGGTAACCAAGCAGCAAGGAAACAGATTTTTTCCACTAAAAGGTTTGCAGACTCTCAGCTTTTACCCGAGACACTGAAGTCCATCAGTACAAGACCCCAGGGATCACAGTTTATTCATTTCCTCTCCACTGCATTTTCCAGCTCCCGGTCCAAACAAGCCAAGCAGGACCACGCTGATCTCCATCACTCCTGACATGGGCACTTTCACAGGCCGCTCTGTCACATGCCATCCCTGCGGCTCTGGGCACATTCCCTGTACCAATATGCAAGGAGTATGGCCTCTCAGGTGTAGGGGAAAGTCACCACAGACATTATTTCTTTCCTCTCTATAAACCTCCTCCTCCACAGAAAGACCAGAACTTGCCATCTTGCAGCTCCATGACATGTGGCTGCATGTCACATTATTTCCTTGCCCTGATCTCAGCAGCCTTTCATCCAGCCCTGCTCAGCATCCTCTCCTGACAACACACCAGTCCAAGGGATCACACGTAAGAACAGGCGAGACCCTGGCTATTCCAGTTGAACAACTGTCTTGACTCAGCAAACCCCAGCGTCGCAGCATATCCTGGAGTAATATTTCCATGCAAATAACATCCCAAGTGCTAACCTAATTAGACACATACAGAGCCACTAAGCACTCGGGGTTTAGGGCAGCTGCCAGGGAGCACAGCAGAGCCAGGGAAGGGGGAAGGGTGTTGCCGTACAGCTAAAACCAGAGCAAATTCCTGGATTCCTCAAATATAAATCATGAGCACTCTAACGGCAGTGCCACATAATAGGCCCTTTAGCTTTCCAGGTTTTGTCAGGGAAATGCAGGCAGTACATGGGAAGGAACAAATGAGGGTTGTGATCCTGCCTGTAACTGAACCCACAGCTCTAGGGACACTAAACAGTGTTTCTAACTCACCACTCTCATCTCCTGTTTTCCTCAAGCCTCCCTCTCTCTCAGCATTCAAAAAGCATGTGTCATGTTCTCTTATTCTTCTCACCCCTGAATGCCAAGAACCTCCTCTGATCTCCAGGGCGGCTGCACAGCTTGGGACACTCAAAGGTGCTTTTTGCTTCACTAAGCTGCAGCAAATGCCTTGTAAACACTAATTTCATGCCTTAGATTTCTAGAGCACTGAGCAAACAAACACATTAATCCCCACAGTTCACTGTCAAGTTGGCCTGGATGCCTCCAGCTTAACTGACAAGGAAAGAAAAGAGATTAAATGTCTCACCTCAAGATCACACCGCCAGCAGTGCAGTCAGACCAAATCCCTGTTTCCTATTTCCCTGGTTGGGAGAGGGAGGGCGGTGAAACAAAGTGAGATGTGTGCAGTAGCAGAGCTAGAGTCAGGGACTTTCACCTTCATGGTTCAACACACAGGTCTGGCAGGTATGCACCTTCATTCTTGGTGGTCAGTTCAAGACACCCTTACCTGGATTCAGTAGACCCTAAGCACCTGCAGTCTACTTCTTTAAAACCAAACCAAACCAAACCCCTAGTGTTTCCAAGAGCTCTGCAGGAGCTGCCCCGAAGCTCTCCAGGGGAGCATCCCTCTGATGCCACCTGCCTTATGTTCAAATCGGGGGTCACATGGAAAACTGTCCTCAGCCTCACTTCCCCATACAGCCTTTCACGACAGCCTCTTCCCCAGCGTGTCACCCACCAGCACAGCAGTGCCAGGGGGGTGTGTCCAGGCAGGATCAGACAACCAGGACAGACCAAGAGCCACCATGGCAGCAAAAGAAAGCCCAGAGGATCAGGGTGTCAGAGCAGTAACACACAGGTACAGAAGAGAGCCCCAGCTCAGCTCTTGTATGGATAGGTTCATTCCTCCCCTCTGCAACCCCAGGGGAAGCCAAAAGGAAGGGGGGAAGCAGCTGAGTACAGAGGAACTTCAGCCTTTGGGGAGCAGCATGGCCATCTCACGTGGGCCAGGAGAGCCTCGCACAAAGGAAGACCACGCAAGGACAGAAATGTACTCGCAGATCCCTGCCAAGTCCCATTACTGGGCTGACTGAAAGCACTTTAGAAGCAAAGAAAGGCAAACACTTCTCCTGTGCCATCAGGAGATTTACTGCCTCTGATCCAATCTTCCCACTTCCAAATTGGGACAGGCTGAAGAAGCTGGAATCAGATGGAATGATGCTACTCTCCTGACCACCCTCTGAAAATCCTTTTACAAAATGCCATGTCCTTGTAAGGCCCTGGGCTTTGCCTCAACAACACAGCTCGTGCAGAGGACCTGTGAAGCATTTAGTTAGGACATCTGCCAGGAGCAGATTTAAACCCACTGACAAGAGCAGCAGCGGCTGCTGCTTAATGGGATGGTAAATACAGTTAATGGGAAAGCATCATTTGGTGGTTTGAGCCGTGTCTACCGTAAGCTTTTGCTGAACCCCTGCTTTTCAGTTCCCAGTTACTGTGCTACCAAAAAAAACCCAAAACAATTTAAAATTTCAGCAACACAGTAATTGCAAGTGTTCCTGTCCTTAATTTGCCTCTTCCCCCCAGCAGCCTTTCCATTGGGAGTGTTTTCAGAGGCTCTATCCTAGCTTGTCAGAGCAAGCCATGCCACCCGGGAGCTGCTGGGACGCAAGACCTCGCAGCACCCAGAGGGCTGCAAAGCCACTGTACACCTCGAATTTCACTGGTGCCCGAACATCACGCTGAGGGTTTTGTAGCAGCCATCTGAAACACAGCAGGCAGCAGTTCAGTTTCTAGCCTACCTGTTCACCTTCTGCTTGTAAGAACACAGACCTATTTTGCCCTCCCATGGGCACTGCAGCTCTACAGTGGGGTCACTGTCAACCCTCTGCCTGCTAGAGGCTGCTATCGTGACAAAAGGCCCTCCTGGGACCAGCTCAGAAAAGAGGATTTGGTCAATTTGCAAATTAAGGACAGGAACACTTGCAATTCAAGGCACCTTCAGAGGGAGAACTCCCAGTGCCAGAGCAGAACGTGACAGGGGACGCACTGCCTGGCTTTGCTGACAGCTGAGGAGCTCACGCACGCTGGAGGCACGGCAAGTCGCTGGAGGCACGGCAAGTCGGGGCGATGCCCACCTGTATCACAAAGGCTGCCAAAGATAAGAGCAGATGGAGGTGGATTCCCAGCAGCACTGGGACACACAGGATTATGGCAGCAGGTCAGGGCAGATTCCTTCCAGCAGCTCAACCAGTTTCTCCAGCCTGATACCATGCCCCCAAGCAATCCCAAACTCACCATTGAAACTGACATTCCCCCTCAGAGCCACCCTGCGAAAGGGAGGCTGATGGAGGAAACTCAGCTTCAAGCCCTTTGCTGGGGGAGGCTATCAGGGTCCTGGTATTTGCTACCTCCTGCTGTCACTGCAGCATCCACAGAAAACAAGCTAAAAGCAAATGCAAGAGGGGACCTAGTCCAGGGCTCCGCATGTTTTGGAGCTGCTGCCCAGCTGGCACCCATTCCTGGTACCAACCAGGAATGTCCCTGTGCCAGGCAGGCCCCTGGTCCTTGGGAAGTGGAGATGCCCACTCTTGCAGAGGTGAAACACCCCCATGGCCAGCTGCCCATGCCATGCCTCCTCCCTGGCAGGCACTGTTCCCAGCTGGGTGTATGGACCTAGCTCACCTCCATGCTCTCCTCAGCCTTAAACCACTAACTCCCTCCTGCTAACCCTGACCTTGGCAGGTCTGTGAGCCCAGGTCAGTAGGTTGCTCATTGAAACATGGAATCACAGAATGGTTTGGGTTGGAAGGAACCTTAAAGCTCATCCAGTTCCAACCCCCCTGCCATCAGCAGGGACACCTTCCACTAGACCAGGTTGCTC